TTGTGTTCACACCAAATGCGATCTCGTGACTAAGTGTATGACATGAAATCACACTACTAGCTACTCATTCACGCCGCTTCATTTGCGTATTTCACAAGGCATCCATCGTGCCGCCCAGTGGGAATTTGAATCTAATCACATCTTTACATCGACTGTACATTTAATTCACTCGCACAAATTGTTTTATTCATGCCTGGTGTGAACACAACATTAGGCTCATACTATGGTGGTTAATATATAAATACAGTTTCTAAAAAAGGGAATGTCATATAAATAACTAAAACTGTAATGGAAAATAGAACGAGTACCAGAGCGTTAATGTTTTAAGTTAACATAAAACTAACTACAGTTAAATTTCTAAGCTCCAGAACTAACAAACAGGATGTGTACAAGAACCTTTTTTGCAGGTCACCCACCAGTTACCCGACCAAGTGCAGGACTCAGTAGTTTTTATCCACCACCGTGTCACTTTCTTTAAATATATTACAGTAGATTACTTACTGCCTCTTTAATTATTGTTAAAAAGTGACTTATATGTGCTCAGAGGGCCATTTTTACAATGTGTGTGTGTGAAATCCGTCACAATAAAACTACAGTATCGGTGCATCTTTACTCTGTACGTGACATGATGTAACACAGTCGTGTCACTACGTGTCACATTTCGGCCATATGAAACAGCGGGTTGGAGTGGCTTGTGTTCTTCCCAGTACTCCCATCGTCACACATAGTGTAGATAGCCATCAGTCAGTATTTATACTGGCCCGTGCATACCTATCTGTATCGTATCACTCATGATCACCTGTCACTGTGTACAAATGCATTTGATAAGACCTCCATATATATACTCTCCTACCATCTATGATATATGTTGGGTATTGCAGTGTACTGATCACTCTAGTTGTAGCTTGAAATAGCTTTTTTACCAGGATAATTACGGGAGGGACTTAACGGAATATTCGGTAACTGTCAGACATTATCCATCACCATATATGTTACTCTTTTATGTAACCAGAAAAAGACGAATGGAAATACATAGATAAATGTATGAAGTGTTGTGCACAACTGGGTTACACATTGTAACTCGAAATGAACTATATCTGTATATTTTACTTTTGTTGTAGAATATAGGACCACTATTCTACTCGGACTGCTCTAGGTAACAGCTCATCTTTTTATGGACAAGTGATACATCTGTTCTTCTGTGTATCTGTGAAATAGATCACTGTATATTTCAAAGCTTTTTATAGTGGCATGCTCTACTGTTGTACTCCACATCATTCTTATATGAACGTGTCTGTTGGGTCTTAGTTTAAAATCAGATATCTGTTGGTATGCGACGGACTCGGAGGAAAAATAAAACACAATCCACTTTTTTGTTCTGTTGCCTCATCTCAACGTCTGAATCTGACAGTAAACTAAACTCCTTTAACTTTCTGAGGAACCTGAGAGCTGTAAAATGGTTTTCATCTGAGACATTGTGAACAACATAAGGTGTGATGATGCATTTATCATTGTTCCTGTGAGAGTTATCTTAGATTGACACCAGACTACTCTACTGTCTTTTAACTCTGTGCCAGTTGCCTTTACTTTGCTTCCGCTGTTGTTGTCTTGAGATATAGACCTATTTATTTTTTGATGATAGCTGAGTGAGACACCTTCTGTTTGTAAACTCATGCTTTGTTTTTATTTCCTTCAGATCTTTGTTATGCTTGTATTTGGAACATGTTTTGCATTTTCAAGGTTTGTAATTTACTGTAAACTGTTTTTGCTGTTTATGGACGAGACTTTTACAAAATAAACTCATTGGAATGCATCATGAGGATGTGACACTCATTACACACCACGAAACAAGATTAAAGCATGCGTGAAAAATGGATTTACATCATAATATCCACATCACTGCTGGGACAATAATGTCAGGTTTTTCCTGAGGGTGGTGCCGCCGCAGGAAATGTTATGTTGATACCTTAACTAAATCACCTGTTGGCATCAGATGCACTTTGGCTAATCTGTGATTTGAGCAATTATTAAACATTACCACACTTACATGCTACCATTAGCATGCTAGCTGATGTCTTTCTGTACTTTTCCTGTTAACTTTTAATTACAACAAAAGAACAATTTTCTCTAAACACAATCATTACTATGGAGAGGACATAATGTTTTATATTGTGCATTGTACAGTACAGGCCAAAAGTTTGGACACACCTTCTCATTCAATGCGTTTTCTTTATTTTCATGACTATTTACATTGTAGATTCTCACTGAAGGCATCAAAACTATGAATGAACACATGTGGAGTTATGTACTTAACAAAAAAAGGTGAAATAACTGAAAACATGTTTTATATTCTAGTTTCTTCAAAATAGCCACCCTTTGCTCTGATTACTGCTTTGCACACTCTTGGCATTCTCTCCATGAGCTTCAAGAGGTAGTCACCTGAAATGGTTTTCCAACAGTCTTGAAGGAGTTCCCAGAGGTGTTTAGCACTTGTTGGCCCCTTTGCCTTCACTCTGCGGTCCAGCTCACCCCAAACCATCTCGATTGGGTTCAGGTCCGGTGACTGTGGAGGCCAGGTCATCTGCCGCAGCACTCCATCACTCTCCTTCTTGGTCAAATAGCCCTTACACAGCCTGGAGGTGTGTTTGGGGTCATTGTCCTGTTGAAAAATAAATGATCGTCCAACTAAACGCAAACCGGATGGGATGGCATGTCGCTGCAGGATGCTGTGGTAGCCATGCTGGTTCAGTGTGCCTTCAATTTTGAATAAATCCCCAACAGTGTCACCAGCAAAACACCCCCACACCATCACACCTCCTCCTCCATGCTTCACAGTGGGAACCAGGCATGTGGAATCCATCCGTTCACCTTTTCTGCGTCTCACAAAGACACGGCGGTTGGAACCAAAGATCTCAAATTTGGACTCATCAGACCAAAGCACAGATTTCCACTGGTCTAATGTCCATTCCTTGTGTTTCTTGGCCCAAACAAATCTCTTCTGCTTGTTGCCTCTCCTTAGCAGTGGTTTCCTAGCAGCTATTTGACCATGAAGGCCTGATTGGCGCAGTCTCCTCTTAACAGTTGTTCTAGAGATGGGTCTGCTGCTAGAACTCTGTGTGGCATTCATCTGGTCTCTGATCTGAGCTGCTGTTAACTTGCGATTTCTGAGGCTGGTGACTCGGATGAACTTATCCTCAGAAGCAGAGGTGACTCTTGGTCTTCCTTTCCTGGGTCGGTCCTCATGTGTGCCAGTTTCGTTGTAGCGCTTGATGGTTTTTGCGACTCCACTTGGGGACACATTTAAAGTTTTTGCAATTTTCCGGACTGACTGACCTTCATTTCTTAAAGTAATGATGGCCACTCGTTTTTCTTTAGTTAGCTGATTGGTTCTTGCCATAATATGAATTTTAACAGTTGTCCAATAGGGCTGTCGGCTGTGTATTAACCTGACTTCTGCACAACACAACTGATGGTCCCAACCCCATTGATAAAGCAAGAAATTCCACTAATTAACCCTGATAAGGCACACCTGTGAAGTGGAAACCATTTCAGGTGACTACCTCTTGAAGCTCATGGAGAGAATGCCAAGAGTGTGCAAAGCAGTAATCAGAGCAAAGGGTGGCTATTTTGAAGAAACTAGAATATAAAACATGTTTTCAGTTATTTCACCTTTTTTTGTTAAGTACATAACTCCACATGTGTTCATTCATAGTTTTGATACCTTCAGTGAGAATCTACAATGTAAATAGTCATGAAAATAAAGAAAACGCATTGAATGAGAAGGTGTGTCCAAACTTTTGGCCTGTACTGTATATGCCTCATAAACCGCCCATCAGTGATACTATACACTATATATTAGCCCTGATACATACACATAGTATCTGTTTAACTGGCTACTTTTACACAGCATTATTGCACATTTGCACCATGAATTCTTCAGTGTAATTTCTTGTATATATGTATAGAAAAGGCTGGTCTGAAGGTAAGCACAGGACTCCATCATGGCAGCCCTGAGCACCACATCCATAGAGGTAGGGGCTTACCACAGCAGACAGGACCTCTGGTGCAGGATGTGCAAAGAGGCCCCTGACATAGTCCAGCACTTTGTAAGATGCAAGCTGGGACAGAGTACACCGAGAGGCACAACCAAGTGGCTGGGATAGTGTGCAGGAACATCTGTGACGAGTGTGGATTAGAGGTCTCCGAGAACGGATGGGACACACCACCGAAAGTGGTTGAGAACAACAGGCTTAAGATCCTGTGGGACTTCAAGTTCCACACTGACATGCAACTGCTAACCAACCAGAGATAGTGATGGTTGACGAGAAGCAAAAGAGGGCATGTGTCACAGATGTGGCAATTCAGAACAGATGTGGAAGGTGAGGTCCAGCGTGGTCCCAGCAGTGATAGGAGCATCACGGAGTGGCTCCTGCAAATTCCAGGAACAACATCTGAGGTCTCTGTCCAGAAGAGAGCAGTCCTAGGAACAGCTAAGATACTGCGCAGAACCCTTAAACTCCAAGGCCTCTGGTAGAGGACTAGAGATTGACAAAGACATATATATATAAATCCACCCTCACCCCCAATTCAGTTTAATTTTTTCAATTTAACATTTTGTTGGCATGACATTTCTTATGTGCTACCAAAGCACAATTACAATTTAAGACAGTGAAAATTCAAACACAGTTAACAACAATGTATGGACACAAATTTTAAAGGACAAAAACACATATTAGTGAATGAGTAAATGAAAAGGCAGAGTGGGATCTGTAGTTGGTTGACTCTTAGGCTGTCTTTCAGTCCAGGATATATGACGTATGGCCTGCAAACACTTAAATATGCAGGCCATACGTCATATATCCTGGTGGGGAGGCTCACTGTACTGTAGCACAGGGCTATGATGTTTGTCTGCGCAGTCTCCTGTCTATGCGCAGTCGGCGCGCAGTACTGCCCCTCGTTAGTATGCCCACACTGACGCATGCGCAGTAGGGTATCGAGCAATTCGGCGCTGAAAAGGAAGAAGCCTAGTTTTGTAGTGCTCCATCCGAACCAGTACCAGCTGGGGAACAGCAGTGTTCACTGAAACAACGTCTGCCTGGTTAGGTTGCTTCCGAGCACCGTGACCGATAAAGAGCTGGAACATGGCGGATAAAGAGGGTAGGTTTAATATAACCGCCTTTCTTATGAAACAGTGGCCCGTTTTCCTCGTGTACCGCTTTGTGTGCGCGCGCCACGGCCGTTTAACTCTGCCGTGGGTGCTAGCATGACATGCTAGCTTGTTGAGAGCTTAGCGAAGTCCTGTCAGGAGGCTCGTTGATTTGAACCTGTCGGTGTGCTGTTCTCGGGTTATAAAACAACGTCATGTCAAACCTGTGATAATTTAAAGTTCAGGATACATTTAATCAACTAAAGTTGTGTCTTGTTTTGACGCTGCCACAGCCCTCCGTACCAAAATACGCCGTGACGTTGGAGGGTGGTAGCTATCTCAAAGCATAGTTAATGTAACATGGAATTAAGCTAGCATGAAGCAGTAGTTTTAACAGTTTGGTTTAACGCACTTACAGCTGTCTTTGAGTCCCCAGTTTTCCCATTAGAGCTGCTGACTGACCAGCAGGGCCATACTGGTTATATTTACCATGTAACCATAACAGTGTGTGCTTCATCAGCTTTCCCTGAATAAATAAGTCCTGAGGAAACAGTAGCTGTGCTCTGAGTAAAAGCTACACAGCAGCTGCTACTATCTGCGGTCATACCTGCAACTAACACCATGTTGTTCTGTCAGTGTATGACGATGCAGTGGAAGAGAGGGTCATCAATGAGGAGTACAAGATATGGAAGAAAAACACACCTTTCCTGTACGACCTGGTGATGACTCATGCTCTGGAGTGGCCCAGCCTTACTGTCCAGTGGCTCCCAGATGTCAGCAGGTATTAATTTACATGGTCTCTGTCTTACTGCTCAGAAAACCTGGTTTAAATTTCAACAGCGTTCAGCTCCTGGAGAGGAACTACTGTCACCTGCAACCGGACAGTCACCCAGCTCTTTGTTCCACTTCTCTATGTTGTGCTGTGGTGTTCTCATGCAACATCTACTTCTCTTACAGCCTAGTGCTAAATGTTTTTACTAATAAACATGTCCTATTGCAATAGAACTCATAATTTAGTTGTTCGTGTTTATAGATCTTTCTGTTGTTAGACAGTAGAACAAGTATGAAATACAGATTTTTATCTTATCTCATGTTCCACTTCATTTTATTTATTTTATTTATAAGGACAACACACAATCAACATTTCTGTAAGTGTGTCAGTGTTATCCAGCTGGCTAATTTTCAACTGTAGCCTTTTGGCAAGATTTTTTAAAAACAAATAAAATAATAAAATTCACAGGACAAAGACAGCATTAATCACGTACATTCATTCATTTCATTTTCCGTAACCATTTATCCTGTTAGGGGTCGCAGGGGGGGCTGGAGCCTATCCCAGCTGACATTGGGCGAGAGGCAGGGTACACCCTGGACAGGTCGTCAGATTGTCACAGGGCTGACACATAGAGACAGACAACCATTCACACTCACATTCATACCTACGGACAATTTAGAGTCACCAGTTAACCTAACCTCCCCCACCACTGGTTCAAACCTCCCACCCATCATGTTATGATCACAACATCGTCTGATAAAAATAAATAGAAATAAAGCTTAATTAACCATGCTGTATGCAGGGGAAAATTTAGATACTTAAAATGAAAAGATGTCACAAGATTTCTCTTCTTAATGCTACAGGCGACTGCAAAAAAAATAGCACACGCCAGAGTGGCTGAGCATTAAACATGAAACAGAAAATTTATTTGGTTGTTGTGTTGTCTTGTGGTGAGGTACCAAATTAAGAGGAAATAGACAAACCTTTAGCAACACTCAGGTAGTGTCCTCACACAGATTTCATTTACTGCTGAAATGTAGTTGTCCACAGTGACAGGATCTTTGAGACCAAGTAAATATCTTTAAGGGATGTCACTAATTTCCTTGACTGTCAGCAGTCTGTGAATGTTGTGTGAAAACTTTGAAGAATTACATTTGCCTATCTACCTTGTTTCCATACCAAAAGCCTGATGTTAAAACTGAAAGGTAAAACTGTCTTTGCGAATGAATATGAATTAAAATCATGTCAATTTTTCTGGAACTGTGCAGGCCAGAGGGGAAGGACTACGCCGTTCACAGGCTGGTTTTGGGGACCCACACATCAGATGAGCAGAACCACCTTGTGATTGCCAGCGTCCAGGTACCAAACGACGATGCCCAGTTTGATGCTTCACACTACGACAGCGAAAAAGGAGGTAAATAAACCAGGAGTCGTACTGCAGTGAAATACTTTTAATGTACATCTGAATAGCTGCTTGTACCACTGTAAATAATGTTTTTGTAAGGTCAGTGTAGAAGTATATTTGCCCCACAAACAAGTGGACAATGTAATATTTTTTATTATTTTTTTGTTTTTATAACATTCATTGATCCTTGCCAAAATGCATTTTATAAAGCTCTGACCTTTCCTGCACACTGTAGAGACACACACACCAATAAAAGTCATGAGCACTAAACGCTAGAAAATCCAGGCAGAGGGTAGAAACTGCTGAAAGTGATGATTGAGAGGGATTACGCTTGTATAAGCCTATACATTATTTTTAAGGAAAATCCTGCATTGTATGTCTTTGAACAATGAATAGCTCTGATATGTATATGGTAAGGGAATTAAGATCAAGACCTGAGTCATGTTCCATTGAACTATTTGCTGATACTGTCTATTGTTATTCTTTCTCCCAGCAGGTATGTTGATGGGTACCCAGGTGTGTGTAGGTGTGCTGAAAGCTCACCGCTCCTTCGGTGTGTCGTCAGAGGTAGTGTTAGTATGTTAGTAAGGCCACTCAACAACTTGAAGGTACAGTTCAAGTCTGACGCTCAATACACGCAAAATCAGTCTGGCAAAGTATCTGTTACATGCTGTAGTACATTCACACACAATGGCTTTCTTTAATCAGGAAATACAGATTTCAACAAGCATATTGTTCCTAATAGTGCAGAGGATGTTTATACCCACTGGCCTCAGTAGCTGTTAGATAAAACTTTTTCCAGGCAACATGACTCTGCCATCATGGTTTAAGATATAGAGATACACTGTTATAATTGGAATTTCAGGGCCAGTAACTATAACCGAGTGTTTGTGACAACATTAGTTTTTTGTGGAACAGGTTTTCGATAGGTTGCTTGTACGGTCACCCTCACCAGTGGATTTTGTCGCACTGACATTAAGACAAGCCTCAACATTATTGAGTGTAATTATTGGAACAGTAACAATAATTTCTCATGTATTGGCCTATAATATATCAGCCTCCTATAGTGTGCATCCCAAGCAGGTTGTAACCTGCAGTTGTCAATAGGGCTGCCACTAACGATTATTTTCATTGTCGACTAATCTGTCGATTATTTTTTCCATTAGTCGACTAATCATTTCATCGAAAAATGTGTTAAAATGTTGAAAAATGTCGGTCTGTCTTGCCCAAACCCCAAAATTACGTCATCTAATGTCTTGTTTCATACTCATGCCAAAGGGTTTTAGTTCACTGTCACGGGAGAGTGTGTAAAGCTGCCAATATCTGAATGAAAGAAGCTGCAGTAAGAGTATTTTGGGGCACTTTTATAGTACTTTTCTATGAAAAATGACTCAAACTGATTAGTCGACTACTAAAATAGTCACCAATTATTTTAATAGTCGATTAGTCATCGATTAGTCGACTAATCGTGGCAGCCCTAGTTGTCAAGTGTCTTGTGTCCACTTCCTGCCTTGGATGTACTACAGTCTGATTGTATTCCTTTCTCAGAGTTTGGTGGCTTTGGCTCCGTAAGTGGAAAAATTGAGATCGAGATCAAGATCAACCACGAGGGAGAGGTCAACCGAGCCCGCTACATGCCTCAGAATCACTGCATCATTGCCACCAAGACTCCCACCTCTGACGTGCTGGTCTTCGACTACAACAAGCACCCGACTAAGCCAGGTTGGATCACTGCTGCGCTGTTACATAAGCACCACAGATTTATATGTATATACTTAGAGACTACATGCATCAGAATGCTCACGCTCCAGTGAATCACACATTATGCTGAATGCAGTGGTTAATTGCGTGTTTCAGATCCCAGTGGGGAGTGTAATCCTGACTTAAGGCTGAAAGGCCACCAGAAAGAAGGGTACGGCCTCTCCTGGAACCCAAACCTCAGCGGCAACCTGCTCAGTGCCTCCGATGACCATGTAAGTGACCAGGACTAAAATGCCTACTGCTCCTAGTGTATAGGATGGGTTAAATGAAGAGCATGCAGACGAGCCTCACTGAAACATTTTCTGACAGTTTGTGCAGAAATTCTTGGGTTGTGCAAACTAATAGTTGCATTAGCTGTACAGCAATGGTACACTCCCTCAAAAGTTGTGATATCTGTTTGATAATGTCGTATGATAAAACTGCACATTATAGAGTAGCATTGCATTTTGACCAGCTCAAGCCACACCTGTGTTGTATTGATGCTGTTTAATCAGCATTTTGATAGGCCACATCTGTCAGGTGGATGGATTATTTTAGAAAAGGTGAAGTGCTCACTAACATGGATCTTAAAAAAATTTTTACATCCAAAATATGAGAGAAATAAGTCCCCTGTGTGCATAAAAAGTCTTAGATCTTTAACTTAATCCTATGAGAAATAGGAGCAAAAATTGGTTCTACCTTTCCTCATTTAGAGTTGACAAACTGACTCCAGTCTTGTCCAGGCTTATAGTTTTAACATCAAACATTTGAAATAACAGAAATGCTAGAAGCACATTTCCTCACAGTGATTATCTGAACACATGTTCTGCTTTATTAATTGCCATATTGCAAACCAACTGTAGCACTCCTTTCTCTTGAGTGTCAAGAACTTGGATTTAGTAGCACCTCCCAAGGAGATGAAAGTTAGTTTCAGGAACTCACCCCTAACGCACGCTGAGTACAGTGGAAACAGTTGAGGGCGACACCTCAGGTTACATGTTGTTAAGTGAGAACATTCTTGGAAGATATTGTACATAGAAATTGTTGGTATGCCCAGTGATGCAGTGCCTCATTGTAGCAGGGGAATAATTGTGCTCCCTCTTTTATTTCTCTTCAGACCATCTGTCTATGGGACATCGGGGCCGGCCCAAAGGAAGGAAAGATTGTGGATGCCAAGACCATCTTCACCGGCCACACAGCAGTGGTGGAAGATGTTTCTTGGCATTTGCTCCACGAATCCCTGTTTGGCTCTGTGGCTGATGACCAGAAGCTCATGATGTAGGTATTAGACACAAACATGTAGTCTGTTGTCTCATCCTGTGAACTGGGTTATAAATGATGTCCCTGCTGCCTCTGACTGTCCTTAATCCTCCATCAGATGGGACACCCGGTCCAACACCACATCCAAAGCCAGCCACTCAGTCGACGCTCACACTGCTGAGGTCAACTGTCTGAGCTTCAACCCCTACAGCGAGTTTATTCTTGCCACTGGTTCTGCTGATAAGGTAGAGAAGAAAAACACACTCTGAACTAAAACAGAATAAACTGGAACATATTTAATGCAAATCTTGTTTTGTCTCTGCCAGACTGTTGCTCTGTGGGACCTGAGGAACCTCAAACTGAAGCTTCACTCCTTTGAGTCGCACAAAGATGAAATTTTCCAGGTAAGAACTGTTTGTCTGATTGTTTCTGACTGTTGTATTTATTTGTTAGTCTGATGCAGCTTTGTGTGACTGTCAGTCTGCAGTTATATACAAACAGCCAAACAATACCTTAGAAGAGTTTTTACTAAAACCGACGAACACTACAGTGACCAGCTGTCCAATTCATTAGGTACAATGGTCTCCTCACAATGAGACGATCCTGGCCTCCAGCGGCACCGACCGACGTCTCAACGTTTGGGACCTCAGGTAAAAACTGTCCACCATAACTCATTATCCATGTCTTAAATAAAACAGTGACATTGTAATTCTGTTCATGAGATTTTAGCAAAACATGCTGAAGATACAATAGTATAGCAAACACAGTCTGAAGAATATCCATCCATCTATTTTCTGCTGCTTATCCGTGGCGGTGTTGCCATGGCAGCAGGCTCCCTTTAAGCGTATGACTAGTGGCTACATAAGATTTAGAGGAAAACTGCATACCTGATAGTGGTTTTGATAATGGTTAGCTAACACAATGTGGTAAATATTTATTTATATCATACAGTCTGTGAAGGAGTAACTACGCTTAACAGACTTTTTGTTTGATTTTCTATCTCCAGTAAAATTGGGGAGGAGCAGTCAGCAGAAGATGCTGAGGACGGCCCACCAGAGCTGCTGGTAAGTGATGCACTATAATCAAGATTACTGTGTGAAGTCACCCCTCGATCTCTTAGTCATCATGAGATCCTCAGCTGTGTGAATAATCTAAAACCTTCCAACTCCAAACCAACCAAGCAGTGGGTATAATGTGATGTGACAGCCTTTCAGTACTCTAAGTGATCAGGTTTGTCTGGCTGCACTTGTCCAGTTGACAGTGCCAGTTGTAACTTCATCACTTAAGTTAAAAATTCATCACATCGACTGTTTGGTCAGTGAAATGTGTCAAAATAAAACAAGCTGAAACAGCTAATTTAAACATTTGTAGGTTTTGAACATGTCAGTGGTTCCAAAATCCTGCTTGTGTGTTATCAAAGTGTCTGTCTCTAACATCCACCTTTCTTCCTGCAGTTCATCCACGGTGGCCACACAGCCAAGATCTCTGACTTCTCCTGGAACCCCAATGAACCCTGGGTCATCTGCTCAGTGTCCGAGGACAACATCATGCAAGTCTGGCAGATGGTAAATACAGTTTCAGTACAGCACCCACCCAGTTTTCCTTTTTTGGATTATGATAGCTCCAGTCCTTCCCCGTGCACCTGTGAAACAAGAAAATTGAGGCTACATCCACACCAATTCATTTCTATTTTAAAAGGCAGAACTGTTGCTCGTGTCCACACCACTGTGGCATGTTCAAACCCCCTAAAACGGAAACCTGTATAAACGCTGCTGACCCTGTTTAAGTTTGAAAACTCTGGTTGTGTTTTTTAATCTGGACTGGTGGGAATGTTGACACAGGCACCCATGTTCGCTTCTCGATAGTCTTATCAGTAGGTGCGGTTACATGATGGCTTCTCATTCAGAATGAAATAAATCTCAATGAAATCATTTGGAATTGAAGTTTTTCCAGGTAGTTTACATGGGAAATATTGGTTCCAAATGAGGGTTTACAAGGGAGATCAGTTTAATCGCCTTTATTCAGGTCTGCACAAGGTTTGGGGCAGGGAAGGTTTCTGATTGGATAGGGGGCGGGGCGGATGTTACGTTTACTGGAAGAAAAACACTGTAGTCCTCACTCGGATAACAAGATGCTTGACGACGCCGTTCTTAGTGCCTTTTTCAGGCTTGTTTTGCTTATATTCTTGAAGCAGCAGTACGACAACAACCTTATTCTGCTAATGCTTCATCTGTTGAGGAGGAGAAGAGAGGTAGAAGGTCGAAGAAGGGAGGTAGAAGACCGTGCAGTGGCGAATGGAAACCGCTGAGTGCAACAAGTCCGACTGCTCTATCTCAGCCCGTTGCTATGAGCGTTATATACGTCATCGTGCCAGAAGGGCAAGGAAACGAGCATGCGCAGAGAGACCGGAATGGCTGGAATCGGGTAGGAGGTGTATACAAGACAGAAAAATTCTTCCATTCGGGTTCTGAAAAGGAATATTCCACCCCTGTGCACCCGATTAGATTTTCTTTCGGGTTGGCTGTTTTCATTCGGGTTGAGGTGTTTACAAGGAACATTTCTATTCGGGTAGGGCTTCAAACCCGATTGCAAAAGGAATATATGGCTTCATGTAAACGCAGCTACTCAGAGCTTGTCAAGTCAAAACATTAAAGCTAAGTCTACATAACTTTTGTGATTTCATCCTTGTTGTGTTGATATGCCTTTCAGATCCCCATAAATTCTTTGGGGATGGATAATGCTCCCGGGCATTACTGCTCAAATATGTTACCATATTTGCTTTGCAGCAACTCTCAACTTGTTTTCCACGGCCTTGACCGCCTTATACTCATTATACTTACAGGTCCACCTCTTTGTAGGTCCAAGTTAAGAAATCTCTGGTTTTGAAATCCTTTGAAATCTGGAGCGACATAACTTTTCTTGCGCTGCTTTCAGATGCCTTTTGCAAGTATTTAAAACGCAGATTCAAAACGAAAACATAGTGTGGATGTAGCCATGGAAATAAAGGTCTGTCTCTCATATAAGCCGATAAAGGTGTTGCACTCTTTGCGTTCTTTGAGCTATATATATTTGATATCTTGTATTTAGTCAAACAATAATGTTGTCATGCAGTTGGTGGGCTCTTAGTCAACCCAGCTTAAAATGTGAACTGAGGTAGAAGCCTGTCTACAGTCTAGTGTTGTCAGAGAACTGCCAGCTGTATGTACATTAACATCTGTGTATTTCGTCCTCTTCCTCTCTTCTTCTCCCAGGCGGAAAACATCTACAATGATGAGGAGCCAGACAACACCCCTGCATCAGAGCTGGAGGCTCAGGGATCCTAACCCAGCTCTGCATGAGTCTCTCTCCAGGCACGACCCCCTCCCTCTCCCCCACCACCCTCCATCCCCCGAGCTCCAGACCCAGACCCAGCCTGTCGTCTCCCTCTCCGGCTTATCAAGTGCAAAATGAAGTCTGCTCTCCACATGAGCGAACAGTGTGGAAAGTTAGAGACAGCATGGGCTCCACCCTTCCTAACAGGCAGTTGGATTCAGGCTCATCTCGCTCACACTTCACCGAGGCCCAGGTACCCAAAAGCACTTGGAGTAGGATTAAGGGTTGAAATGTTGTACCTGGGCTTTGGAGACTCTAAAGAGCAGAAACCTTTTATGTGGACGAAGTCACTCGAAGTCATTAATACCAGTTAATCAGTGACTCTCAAAGGGTTCAGGCAAGGGAAATAAAAAGTGTCATTTTATATTCAGACTTATGAGTAGCCAGAAAACCACTAGCTAGTGACGTTCCCTCAAGACACATATGTGACGGAGGACTACTCCTCCATGACATGCTTCTATCCAAACCAAAGACTGTGTATAAAGATGGACGACACATCTCTATGTACTCCTACTTTACAAAAATGAAGCCAAAATATCCCTTAAACGGGCCCTGCCGTCTCATGCTGGAGGCGTCAAAGCGATCTCCACAGCATCAGGTTCTCACCTACACACCTGTCTGACCAATCGGGAGCAGCACCATTGATAGTGAGCACACTGATTGGCTCACACAGCTGTCAATCATGATGTCATACCACCTTTTATAGCATTAAATAACTAATTAAAACCACTCTTATTAGGGAAAAAAACACTTAAACAAATATCAGCGTGATTAGAGCTACATAAAATAAAAGACACTATCTTTATTTGATCTTTTAGTTTGGCCCATGTCCCGTTAGCTAACATGGAGGGAGCAGGGAGGAGGTTTTGGCTTCATTTTGGGGAGCTCTCATGTCGTCCATCTTTATATAGAGTCTATAATCCAGACTATGATTGGCTTAAGTTAACCAGGTTGGTTATGTCCAGGAGAACTTAATTTTAACTTACTTTACTTTATATCGTACTGAGCTGACACGTCCCGGCTGTCCTTTGAACGAACATTCCCTGCTGTGTTTGCCTCCTGTTCATAAGGTACATTAACTGTTGAGTATTTGGTTGAGTAAAAGGTGCACTAGAGGGAAACGCACATATTTCTCTTTCCTCTCCTCGTTCTGTTGTTAAATAATGTGAAATTGCCATGTTTTGTTTCCCGCACCTCAAATTGCAATAAAACTTTTATAACTTTTCAAAGACAAGTTTTAAATTTCTTCAGACAACCTGAAATGCTGCACATACAAGTGACACCTCCACTTCACTCTTTCACCCAGTAAATGACACAAGACCCAGTGAGGAAATAAATCCATGGCTTTTGCAAATTCTACAAAATGTTTATTGAAAAGCAAGACAGGACTATAAGAACATTGTACAATCAAAGAGGGGGTGTGGGCTCATTTTTTTTTCTTTATTTAGTAAAAATAGAGCTCTCCGAAGCTATGGTGACTCATGCCTCTTCTTTCACAGTTAGTCTCACCTGCAGAGGTAGATTCTGACATTACCTGAGAGTCAATCTGGGGCAACGCCAAAGAAAGAGGAAACAGATGCTGAAAAGTCTTCCCTCGGCTTGGACTACACCTGTCCTCCACCCGAAAGAAAGTTATGCACACACCACCTGACCCTGTACGTGTTTACATCAGTTTAGTATTTAAATGAGAAGATAGATCCACGAGGAGGAGAAACGTGGAAAAGACCAGGAGACGTCACAGATAGAATCAATCAGACTGCAAGGCGACGTCTTCGAGGACGTTACTTCAAGTCGCACTGTTACATTTGTAAAGGAAAATTATGTGTTGTATCACCCCTGTGATTCTCACTGTCTTTACAATATACTGAGTTAAAAAGGAGCCACTTGAGGAAAGAATGGCCGGAACAACAAATTAAACAGTGCTGAGGGAATCTGGTTCTTCACCACTACACTTTAAGTCAAGCAATTTTCTTTCCCACTGCGTACGAGATCTCAAAGAGAATAGTCGGCAAAAAAGGTGCACACCATGGATCAGCCTTGTACCCACAAATAAGGGATTCAAACTACAGATGCAGATGAAGCAATAACGGGGTGAGCAGATCACTTTGCACCCAGAGTTAACTCCTGTATTCAAGATTTTGGATCTGTTGTGGAACAATAGCTGCAGTATCAGCTGTTGCTTAGGTAGTGGAGCAAGCAGGGTTAAAGTAATACTTCACCCCCAAAATGACCAGTTGTATATGAGTTACTCACCCTGTGTTATACGGGGGAATTCACAAAGAAAACTTCTGCCTCAACAGTGAACGAAGAATCCAAAACTGAGATAATTCAAAGGTCTTTGCGCACTGAGTCTTTTTATTTTTTTGGTCTAAAATTGTTGCACATCCAGAAACAAATCTGACGTTGTGTTAATCATGTTTGCACACTGAGTTTTTCACCTCCGTCAAAGCCTTCGGAGACTTTCAACCAAGAATCAGTGATGAAAATGTGGCAGTGGGACACAGCTGCGCCACAACAGAGGAACGGGACGCACAGGATCATTTCGTAACTCAGACAGCTACTTTCAACAGGTCAGATAGTAATATTCAGGTGGATGATGATGAAGAGGAGGAGGATTAGGACCGCACACAGAATGTGGAGGACAGCTTCGCCCCTTCATGCAGCTGTGGTGCCAAATGACAATACACCAGCAGCTCCTATGTTCAGCAAGGTAAAATTATATATTTGTCAATGGAGTCTGGCTTTGAAGAGAACATAAATATGTTTCAGTTCCCTGTTGGAAACCGCAGTCTGCTTGGGAGATACTGAGCATACGACTGGATAAATGGGACTTGGATTATACTGCACGAGTTGTGTGAGAGTTTGTTAACAAATGTTTCAAAATAGTTTTGCAGTTTATAACGAGATAATTTTCTGTTTTTGGATTCTTCCCTCACGAGAGGCATGTGAGAGAAACGTTTTGTTCATGAATTCAACGTAATGGGGTGGTTAATCGTTACACAAGGAGTCATTGGGGGGTGACAGAAGTGCCCCAAATTAAAAAACAAAACTGTAGTGACAAAAGGTAAAATACGCAGGGGGTGCAAATGTGTACCTTAATTTCTATTTGAGGGGCTTCTATTCTTAACACTGCCAGTTTCAAGATCCACAGCTCAGTTTGACACTGCCGACAACTGATTCCCTACATTCACTGTTTCAGGTGTCTACGCACACTGACGAGTTTCCTCGTGTACAGTAACAGCTGCAGCTCCTGTTGATATGCATCGCTGATGGAAATCAAATCTTTTTATTTAAATGCATTAGAAAAGAAAAATCACATTCAATCTTCTTCCAGTATAAAGTGTCAAAGACGTCGAGGCTCATTATTCTGATGTTCTCTAACATAATTTACAGAAAATAATTTGCCAGTGGACAAACTGTGTCAGAACTCCTGACTCGGTTCTTGTCTGTACACCCTGTTGAGCTGACTGTACGGAAGTCAAATGATACGGTTCATTAAAAAGTGGATAACTGAAATGCAGATTAAGATCAAGTAACACATTTTGCACGCAGACAATCGCTGAGCTTTCATGTTTTTCTAGTTCCCGTATTATCCCTCGTTATGTTTCCTCACAGGGACACAAACAAAAAAAGGTTAAATGGGAGATTACATTATCAAACCCAACTTCTAATGCTTACGATTTCAGTCCTGGTCAAATTGGTGACACCTGCAGTAACAGAGGTGAGCTTTAACAACACCTACCACAGAGTCCTGTTCAAAGTGACGCACAAATCAACCACTGGGGGCAGCATACACCCCTCAAGTGTGAGTTACCACTGAGGAGGAGCAACTCGTGTTAAAGGGCGGGCTGAAAGGGTTCATCAAGTCATGTTTTATTACAGAGGACGCTCAACAACATTAGCTAGTACAGACCTGTTAAACTCATGATTAAATGTTAACTTGCAGATTAGATCTAATGGACGTCGCACTGGGTTTTGTTCTGCATTGAATCCAGAACATGTTGAATCATTTCCTGTAAATCCCTCGAGTGCAGGGAGACAATTTGAAGTCGTAATATTGCAAGAACATGTCCTCTGATTTAATCAGTCTTCCACATTCGTTGATCAAAATATAACCTTTTTTTTGCAAAGTTACACTTCTTGAAATATGACTTTTTTCTCTTCAAAATTACAATTTTATTCTCAAAATATTTCAGCTTTCTCATCACCACAGTGGCCTTAACACCACCTGTAAAATCTGAATTTTGTAAAGGTGGACTCATTATCTTGTGGTCAACTGTTGAAGCTATAATTTACCTAAAACTGATGTGCAGAGGTGGCTATTTCTGAGGCTTGATTTGATACCAAGCCAGGTCAGGTGAGCATTTATAAAAGCCAATTGTTTTAGAGTTCGACTTAGAGAACCACAGTCCAAACAGAGGAAGCTTCCAGACAATAAAACACTCCAGAGGAGATGTGGTTTGCGTGAGTTAATACTATAAATATATCTCAAGTAAACTGCTAACTTTTTGTCTGGTTAGCACAGGCTCCCAGGAAGGGGCACAAAAATACTTTTCCCATAGACTTACATGGCAAAAGAGACATCTGTACATTGGTGGATACATTTTTTTTGGAGCGTCCATTCGGTCCAATAACATTTGGAAAGTCTAGATGAGCCGCGTGATTAAATAATTTTATCCACATTCAAGTTAACAAAGCTAGACTAGAAGTAGGCAGCTCGACCAGCCTGCTCTGTGGGCCAAACGGTGCCGATCATTCAAGTAATTTTACCGTTAGCCTTTTCTCCGGTTAGCACAGACCCCCCCAGGAAGTGCATTGAAATTTGAAGCCAATGTTCGTAGTGGCAACAAAGCACTAAACTGAAAGCAGGCTGCTCTATGGGCCAAACGGTGCGGAAACAGTGCCGATCATCCAGGTTAAGCAGAAATGTTTGGCTTCATGTGCCATTGAGAAACTTTCATAGCAATTACCCGGGCCCTTCTGCTAACGCTGTATCTACTTCTGTTTATAGGTCCATGAGTTGGCAACCAAATGAGCTAATGGCGCTGTCACAATTTCCAAAAGTCATGATCAAGTTATTACTGTATGTTTTTCATGTGCGGCGCCTCCTTGAATCAAGGGCTGTGTTTCATTGTAGCTATGGTGATGTTTAGCTTTTGACCACACGTTTTCTGTCTGTCTGTTGAATGCAAATACTCAAATTTGCCTCCACACTTTACCAACAGGTCATGTCTGGGTCAGAGTGCTAAACGTGGCCTGCTGGGATAACACGCTTCAAAATTTTGAATTCCAACTGATTATTAGAAATCTATTATTGTATTTTTTCAGATAAAGTGACAGCCCTACTTGCTAGCATACTAACTGGCAATTAGCGAGCATGTTGCCAGCTAGTTAGCATGTTGTAGTTGAGCTCGACAGCCGAAGTTGCTCACCAACTGTCCCACAAGTTGTCCCTGTTTCAGAGCTTTAAACCAGCACCACCTATTGCACAAGGTTCATTTTGCTGCGACACTTTCTGCTCTAATCAAGAAAATTAAAACGTGATCAAAAAATATATTTAATACCCTGTGGCCAAGACGGATGTCAAATAAGCCCAACTCTGACTCTACACTGTCCCATTTCCTCCTCCAGTTTTCCAGATCACATGCCGACAGTAAGGCTACGTTAATACAAAGTGACCTGCGACAATATGCACGTGATAAACCCACTTTTCAATTTAATCAAACTAGAATTTCCAGTGAGACATGTGACACTACAGGGAGAGACCATGTGAAGAGAGAAATAAAAGGCCAATTTGACTTTGACTAGCTTCAATTTGCACGAGACTTTCCTATGAAAATACAGTTATGGTAGAAAACAGGGAGTACCAAGTGCTCGCCACAAAGCCAATTATTACAACCAATGTAAAACGTGGGCAAAGTTTTAGAATAGAATCCTCGATACAATCATTTTATCCTTCTTTAACTATCGCACAAAAAAAATGATATGGGTTCAGTTTCTGTTCAGAAACCTGGAGAGGCAAGTCTAGGATTAAAAAAAGAAAAGAAATCTCTATCCCCATTGCAGATGGTTTCTCTGGCTAGTTATGGAACTAGGCTGGAGGTGTGTGGAGCCCTCCGATCACACCCGTCTCACCTACACACTCGGGCGGTGTAGGCTTGTTCAGTCCTGCTGTGAGGGCGGTGCTTCTGCAGGCTGGCTGGTCGTCGTCGTCGTCGCAGTAGTGGTTTTGTCAGTAGCAGCCGTCGTGGGGTCCAGTTCAGGTGGTCTGGGGGCTTGGTGGACGCCCTCCGTCTCCAGCTCGTCACCCTGCGCCAAGCCCTCCTCGTCTTCCTCCTCCTCCACCTCATCCTCGTCCTCGTCTTCCTCCCCGTTGGAGGGCTCCCTTGGCTGGGCTTCAGGAGGCGCTGTGGTCCCTTTGTCTCCCTGCTCCTGGAGGAGGCTGAGCTGGTTGTTGAGGTCGTTCCTCTCCTTCTGCAGGGCTCTGCACAGCCTCTCCAGCAGCTCCAGCTTCCCCTGCAGAGCCTTGAAGTGGCCGTCACGAAGAGTTTTCTACAACACGACACGTTTCATCAGCATTAAAGTTCAGTTTTTCTAATACTACAGAATCAACCAAAAGCAAAGGGAAGATTTCGAGTCACCTCCTCGGCCATCTGCAGCAGAGCCTGGTTGTTACTCTCCCATTTGGTCCTCCACTGTGTCGTCTCCTTCTCCAGCTTCTTGATCTTCTTGGTCATCTGCAGGTAAATCCAGACAGTTAAAACAGCTGCCAGGGAAAAACAATGAGACACAAACACTAAGCCAACAGGACAAGGTCAGTCAGTCACCTTCTCCATCTCTTGTCTGAAAGTGGTGAAGACCTCGTTGCTTTTAGCCAGAGTGCTCTGAAACTCCTCAAACTTGTCCATGTACAGGGAGAGCTGAGAGCAGAGAGAGGGGAGCAGTGAGTCATTTTAAAACCTTTCATCTGGGTTTATGTACACAAAGGTGAACACAAGGCTTCTACAGCGTACCTCCAGTAAAGAAAAACAGTGTTGATGACTGCAGAGCCCAAAAACATGTTTCTGATCCACCAAGGAAATGTTTGTTTGTGAGTATTTACCTGTTGTTTGAGCTGTGTTTCTTGCTCCTTCATCAGCTCACACTTGTGTCTGGACTCCGTGGCGTCCTTCAGCAGCTGAAGCATCACAGTACAGTCAGTTCATGATCCTGAATATTGTTTAATACCAATAATACCACTAATCCACTGATTTCATTTCTGCTCAGCTACTGGCCGGTTAATACTGCTGTTTGAAACAGGCGCAGAAGATGTACTCACAAAGTCTCTCTCTCTTTGCTGCTTCTCCTCGACTTCTTTCATCATCTCGGTGATTCTCTGCAGCTTCGCGTCCATCAGCTGCTGCTGCAGCTCCTTGTGCTTGAACACCTTGTCTATGTGCTGCAAGAGAAACGCACATCAGAATAACCATCAGGCTCAACAACCTGTGATGTGCCCTGATCGTATTCTTTTCATTTGAATTACCTCCCCTTGCAGTATTTTAACCTGATGGACATTTTAATAAACACCAAGTCAGTCAAAATGTAGATGGTCAGGTCTGGTTTCAAAGAGTCTGAAGTTTGTTGACTATGTCAACACCACCTGTTGCTGCTGCACAGTTGAAGCCTTCCAGTGGTCTAACATGTCTTTTAGCTATTCAAACACAGACACACACCTCAGCACTAATATTTGAGAACATGAGTGGTATTGCTTCGCTTTTTTTAAAATCTATTTTTGCCAAAATTGAATGTTGTCCTTGTCCTTTGGTTTACTAAAATGGCCTGTGTGTAAAAGCATCTTGTACTTTCTGTCATGATTCAAGTTCCACATGAAAACAAACTCAGAGTTAGCAGAGATAAAAAGGCAGTTTCTACACTACCATGATTTCTGTGTTTGCAGTGGAGTTTATGAAGACTCTAAACGCAGGGTTTGTCCTCTCACCTCCTCTCGCAGCTCGTACTGCTCGATGAGCTTTTTCAGCTTCTCGGCCAGCTCCATGTTCTCCTGCCTCAGCTTGGTGTTGTGGGAGCTGTGCTGCTCCATCTGCACCTCGATATCGCTCAAGGTCATCTGGAAGTGCAGCATGGCCTCCTTCCGCTGCTCCTCGTACTCCCTGGACCGCTGGGCGTTTTCCTCCTGAGGTGACGGGAGAGGTCAATGATGAGTTTAAAAAAGGAGAGGAGAGAGATATATGTGCTGTTTACCCTGGCAACATGTGACATCATATGAGCAGAGACGCACACTGTCTTGGACTAAACAAATGTCTTCTTCACGTTCTGAAAACAGTTTTCCTTAGAAGTGGTTGTTTGCCTTATGACAGTGAAAGGTGGTGGCTGAGGTGTACCTTCAGTGTCTTGTTGTGTCTCTGCAGCTCCCGACAGAGACTCTCCAGCTTGCTGCGGGCCAGGATGGCCTTGCTGTGTTCTCCCTGCAGGTGGATCTTCTCCTTCACTATCTGAGACTGCTTCTTCTGCAGGGCTTTCAGGCGCTTCTGCATGCAGCGGCTCTCCTCCAACTACACATGGTCAACATCAAGAGGTTGCATCATGGTTAAGCTTATCATTTTTTTATTTGTACTTCCCGCACAGCCGTGTCTGTCTCATTCACACTTGTGGCCATTTTTTCAGGCTTTGTACATGACAAAAAAGCCCCCGTTCTTAATCCCAACTACAAAACCGAGCACACCATCTGACTGATTTGAATCGCTGAACAAATGTGAGATGTGTTCAGCTAGTCAGAGCTTTTGAACCAGGCAAACTTCATCCAGAAGGTTCAGCAGCTCCGTTAGTTGCCTCAGGATCAGTCAGTCTGGCTGTTCATATGCAGATATTCAGATATTTACTTACCAGGTCTGCATATTTCTTGCACAGAGCAGCTAGTTTCTCCTCAGGAGTGGCGAGAGAGTTCAGAGCCTGCATCAACAGAACGACCTCCTTTCCTGGAACATAAACCACAACACTATGAGAAAAACGGAATGACTTTATTCCAGTGACAACTTCCACTTAATGAAACTGACGAGAATTTTTACGCAAATATGACTGACTTGTGACCGAGGTGTAAAACTGACATCATATTTATGTAACAAGCTCATCTTGAAAGTGCCTCTAAGATACTTTGTCGTGTTCCTACCAAAAGCCTTGTCCTCTCCAGCCTTGAGGTCTCCTCCAGGGTCGAGCTCAGCCTCCACCAGGTCGCTGGGACTGTCCTCTCTGCCTGGAGTTTCTCCCCTCTCCTCGTCAGCGCAGCACAACCCCAAACCAAACTCCGCAACCTCCTCCTGATAACACACACACACACACACACCCAAATGACCACAAAGCAGCTGGAACGCCTCACTGAAGAGATGCAGTTTTCACTGAGCAGCTCCACTAAAGAAGCAGGAGGTTCAGTGCCTTGCCTAATAGTGCCTCAAAGCGCCTGCTGCTGGAGGGAAATGTTACTCACCACACATGGTTACTTCATCTTCCCCGCCCTCAATTTTCCAACAAGCCTGATGTTTAAACAGATGACTGCTGTTACCTCTATGTTACCCCAGGGCTGTGTATCTAACCTCAGCACCTTCTTGTACTGACTAAAATGTGTTTGTACTACAGTCTTGAAAACTGTTAAGTCCTTGAGTGTCTGGGCAGATCCCTGTTTTCTGATTTTAAACCAAATTCTGACAATTTTAGATGATTTTATGCGGGCAAGAGTCTGACCCCTGTTTTTATTTACTGAACATTTAACATGTTTGAGAATTCTGGCTTTTTGAATGACAAGAAAATGAAATAAAAAGTTTGTTTTTCGGTACCAAAACTCACGTACTGAAAGAACACTATTGCTAAAAAAGGAATAGCTACTTTTAGTGGAGCAGTTGCAGCTCATGTATTGCAACTTATTGAACAATGAAAATAGTAATGATGCTTAACACTAGTTAACAGTGCTTACCTGACATGGGCTGTCCAGTTCAGGTGGAGAGTCGCTGCCTCCCACTATTCTTCTGGTCGCCACATCAATCTCACAAACTTCTGTCGTCTCCATTGGTCCTGACTACGAGCTAGAATATCATAGTCAACAAGAATTGTTAGAAACTATAAAGAGATTATAGCCTGACCAAACACTTGTCATGAATAGTGGGAGTCACATTTGGGCTAAATATAGTCTCCTGATGATTTAAAAAAGCAAGTAAAAAGGTCTTGTGATGATGTGGGCTTGCTGCTTCAGGTGTTAGTGAGGCGATTACATAGAAATTCAGTTTGAATAACACATGCATGAGGCTTTTCAGACACCAAAACACTGCACATCATCCTGTGATACTATGAGACAGGGTTTTATAACTCAGGAAAGTTATCACAGAAGTCATCTAATCCATTCATTAGTTAATTTTCCGTAACTGCTTGTCCTGTTAGGGGTCACGGAGGAGCTGGAGCCTATCCCAGCTGACACTGGGCGAGAGGCAGGGTTCACCCTGGACAGGTCACCAGACTACCACAGGACTGACACACAGACAGACAACCATTCGCACTCACATTCACACATACGGACAATTTAGAGTCACCAATTAACCTGCATGTCTTTGGACTGTGGGAGGAAGCTGGAGCACCTGGAGGAAACCCACGCTGACATGGGGAGAACATGCAAACTCCATGCAGAAGGGCTCCCCCACCCCGGGGTTCGAACTAGGAACCCTCTTGCTGTGAGGCAAAAATGCTAACCACTGTGCCACCCTCAAATCTAATTTATTGCGTAATTTCTCTCTCTCTCCCTCTGACTGTGCCAGCCCTCTGTGTTAATGTGTTTCATGTAAATCTGCAAGGCACAGTAAGGAGAGGGAAAGAGACACTGTGTCGCATTAGCCTGACAAGCTAACAGTCAGTAATGGATGAAACGGGGCAATAATGTGGCTTCAGGTGTGAGGTTGGATTTGGGTGTCAAATTTTGCAATACCAGCTGGGCTCAGTCTGCTCAGGAGTTAGTAGTAGTTAAACATTAGGACTTTGTTAGAGTACATGAGGTGACATGCTAGGGGGTCAAGAGTGAGAAACTAGGGCTGGGAGATAAAATGATAATTATCTCAGTATAATTTTCCTAGACAGAGATAAAATGAGTCCTCACCATAAATGAACGACAATATTGCAATACTATGCTGTATTGATATTTCCCCCACCCCTACAAACTCTGCAGCCCAAATAAATTTTATATAATAGACACAAGGACTTGATGACAACACATCTGCACTAGGACAGGAGATTTCAGGAGATGACAAGTACACAACCTCTCTGTAAACGTGCTGAGCTTTGTGGCTGTTGCCATGTGACAAAACCTGACTGAGAGGAGTAATCTCGCCACGTTAATACCGTCTTATCCATGCAATGAGACTTTTTCAACAGCAGACAGCAAAAGTCAACCACGTGTGTTGAGCAGCAGGAGCAACCTGCCAAATGTCAGCCCAGCACACAGCATGCCTCATTCTGGGATCATTACAGGGGAGCTACACCCTGAACTACTCTCTGATTTTAACACAGCCACATGCTTTGGTCTTACAACCACACAGATATGAGTCAAGCATATTATTCTTACGAGCCCTGCTAACATGCCAATCGTGTCAGGCCGTAGCAGCACCGTCACGCCAACACGCACATTAATGCCAACAGGTTGAATATCGCTGGATATTTCTTACATATCTACATAATGTTACGACAGTGGAGTGAAACATTAGAGAGACAATTTAAGGAAGTTAATGTTAAATGTAATCTAGCTAGCTTACCTTGTCGGCTAAGTGGGGAGTATGATGTATGCTAACATAAAGCAACACTTACACACTAAAGTTAACTTACATCAGCCTGTCAAATGCTAACACATCAGTTACTGTGCCAGTGTTGCTGTTGAGAATAATAATTTGTGATTGTAGTAAAAACTGGATGTAATATGGACCACCTAACTTAACTGCAGTTTCCTGCCCAACTCACTGACACTGGCAAGCACGCAAAACATGTTACTTATTAGCGGCTACTATGCTAGCTGCGATGCTAACTTAGCTACTATATGTGTTGTTTACTCCATAAGGAGGAAACTTACGGGAACACCCTTGGTAAAAAAAAAAGAAACGGGATCCTTTTACCTAACGATATAACCACTACAAAACATACGGCATGTCTGTACTGCATAACTTAAGATGTTAAAATGTAGCATCTTGGTCTTGACGGGGGTTTCTGGTTATCCCTGGTGGTGTTAAGTAGCTAGCCAACTTTAGAAAGTTAACAAAAATAGCGGGATACGCATTAATTCGAGCATAATACCTAAGCCGAATTGAAAAACACTCCATTCTACATTTAAAAAGGTCTTAATGGGTTTAGTATCTGCAGTGTGTTTTTGGATATCAATGCGGATATTGCAAATCTTCAATATTTCAAAGTAAGTCTGGCGTGACGTTCCATCGAATCAGGGCAGAACGGCGCGTACGGTTCCTGGTCATGTTAGCTAGCTACTTAGCTAAAGGCACAGCTAGCATTTCCTTATTTATCCCTGTAAATAAACTCCCGTTGACATTCCCATTGTAGGTGTCAAGCGCAACTGATCATTAACACCACTTAGTCGGGGAGATGTAAAGTAAATTCCCAATGTAAGCTAACAAGTTTGCTATTGTTAGCAGGGCTAATGCTAATACTGTGCTAACAGCTAGTAAGTGGCTAGCCCAGCTGGCTAACACTAGAAGTGAACTTTACTTCGGCGAATATCTAATGTGCGATATTGAACACAGACACTTGAACACTTCAGGTGACAGTAACAGGTCACACACTGCACTGAGGTTTAGTAAAATCGGCACGACACAATACAGGTGAAGAAAATACGTTGATGAAATAGCGAGAGCGTTTACCTGTGCTTTCACACGGGATGGAAGCAGGACAGTTATCAAGCTAGCTGGGACTGTCCGTGTACAAGTAGAACTTCCGGTTAAAGCTTTTCAAGATAAAGCGTGTTTTCCTGTTGAACAAGCAACGAGGGAGATGAGTTTTCCCACTGTTAAAAATGACAGATTACACCTGTTTAACAACAATAATAATAATAATAATAATAATAATAATAATAATAACAGGGATGACATTGACATTGGTATAATATAATATAATAATATAATATATATATAAAAAAAAGTCACACAGACTACACCATACCCACTATATGAGAATGTAACCCACACATCCAACTTGACATTGCCTATGCGTTTAATTTGAAGGCAGCACCCTCGTATTTCCGGTAGTAATCTGACTATTTTGACGCAGCTGAAGTCAAAAACAAAAGCAAAAATCTCTGAGCTCCTCTTTTTCCGGGACGTCAGAGAGGGAAGAAAACAACAGCCACTTGATACCAAATCAGTCCCAACAGCAACTGTTTCCTCACAGTGTCTTCCTTATATTCCTTCACCATGTCATCCTGTTAAAAACATTTTCACCTGCAGCTGAACTCATCAAGTCTGCCTCCTGACAGAGAGGAAACTGTGGTGTTGGAGCTGAGTGACATTGGGAGGTGACTGAATTCACATGCTGCTTTTTTTTTCTCAGTATGCAGGAATTAAATGTAGATGAACATTTAATTACTGCATACTGAGAATTAAGAAGTCGTTTTAAAGAGTAAAACCAAAGAGGTCCAACAGACTATTAGATAATTTAATTAATATTATTGATCCAACACAGAGTAATTAAAGTATCTGAGAGTTTAATAGGTAGATCACTAAATTAGCACTTAAGAGTGTGTACCAGTCAGTGGTGGGAAAGAGAATTCAGATATTTTACTTAAGTTAAATTAGCAATATACTCTGTAAATACACCATAAGTAAAAGTCCTGCATTCAAATAGGAGTAGGCCACCGATATGTAGTTATCAACAAAATGTGAAGTACTTAGTATATTAAAAAAAGGGCCCTGTGAGTGTTTTACCATCATACCTGATGTTTTTAGATTAATATTACTGCTGCGTTAATGTGTATGTTGCATTTTCCTGCCTAACTCATTTATATTCTCCTGGGTGGTTTAATCCACAGCAGGGTCGTCAAACTCTTTTCAGTTGAGGGGCCACATACAGCCCAGTTTGATCTCCAGTGGGCCGGACCAGTAAAACCTGTAAATAACAACCTCTTCAAATGTTTTCCTTTTGTAGTGTAAAGATTCTGAAAACATTCATCTGTTTACAAAACTAATGAACAGCTGCGATAACGTCAGAAAAGTTATGAGCACATTCAACAGCATGTCTCAGTTTTTCCACATTCAGTCAGTCGACTACTCACTTTCATTACATGTGACCTTTTTTTTCAGAATTTTCTACTAGAGTAGAAGCTAATGAAAAAGCAGGTTCAGTCACCTGCTGTCTTCCTTAGCAACAAAGTTCTACCCATATTGTTTTAACGATATAAGTCTAATACAGATTATTTTGTACTGAAGCTGCTGGTTGACAATATTTTACACAATGTTCAATATCTTTAAATCAGACCACAGGAAGTCTTCATTGTTACTTCAGAGAGCTGTACTCTGGTCGGGGTGAAAAGCCCCTGAGGCAGCATTTTACATGAAATATCTGCTCACTGTTTAAACCAGGCTCCTCTCAGCCTTCACAGGTGCATCGGAGTCAGGTGTGCAAAGTCATCCAGTGGGCCAGATTTGACCCTTTAGCGGGCCGGTTCTGGCCCCTGGGCCATTTGACATCCCTGATCTACAGCAATGCATCATGTTCTATAAGATCATATGGCTGTAGCGTGGCTGTCCTGTGAGAACCACAAACCTCTAAAAAGTCAGAAAAACAGCTGGTTTTCAGCTCTGTGACGAAGCATTTTCCAGCTGAGCCAAGACGGTTTTTAAAGAGTTTATTTGGCTTAAGAAGAGGAAGAAGAGGATCATTTCCTTAACCTATAAAGGAAAACTTGGCCCTTCAGTTCATCAGAACTTTAACAGAGATTCATTGTTTTCACAGGACAGGAGGGGTGTCAACAATTTTAATCTGAAAAGTAAGTAGTTGCATGAAACTGAAATATTCAATTTGATTAAATCAAACTTTATTTATCCTGAAGGAAACTCACTGGGCCCAGTTTTCAAAACAATAGAGCAGTGGTGTCAAACACACGGCCCACAGGTGACATGACTTTGCAAAGTGTAAAAATTGCAGAGAAGTAATTAATTCCAATTTTTCAATTAAATATACTGTTATTCCTGTTTGTCCAAATGAATTTCTCCACAGAGGTTAAAGGGACACCAGTGTGTGTGGTCTGCTCACAGCATCTTTCAGTGCTCATGGAATATTATATTCAACACCACAATCAAACGCATATCATCGTTTCTTCAAGTAACGGTAAAAGAAACAACTTTTTAGAAAATTAGAGAAATCAAAATGTCCCTCAGTCTGTGGAAACTGACCATGAAGGATTAAAGTTTTTACAAAGTGCAGGAGTTGCTCCCTGCATGAGTTTGGTTTATGTTTGGAGTGCCAAAGGCTGACATCATTATAGTGAGGGTGTGCTACACTGGTTTTGGTACAGCTGCATGGAAGCTTGTGCACATTATTAAGAAGCAACTATTATTAGATTAAATTTAGATCTTTGCTAATGGATTCATACAGTCCAGAGTGATTCTGGGATGTACTGATGAGTACAAAACCACTGGCTCCATTTCCTAATCAGGCTTTTTGAGGTAACTGTCAAATGAAACGTGTCAGCTTTTTGTAAGCCGACACGTTCCATTTGACTTAAGAACTCAAAGAAATCAGAGAAGAGTCATTTTAACTCTACGTGAGGGGAAATCAGTCGGCTGGTGGTGAGCCCAAATATATGCAGACCATATGCATGTCAAGTTTCGTGCACATTTACAAATACAACTTATTATCGTGCAACAAAACCATTACACTGACAAAAATAAAAGCAGACCTGAACCACAGTGAGATAAATGGTAACTAACCTGGGAGGTTAAACAAAACACCTTCAGAACAATAATTCAGTGCATCTGAAAACCCAAGAATACTGTGGCATGACTGAGAAAAATGTCTGTACCAATGTGAAGTCTAATTTTGTAGCTAAAGGATTTGACAAACCACAAGTATGATCTTTTAATATACATGACTAACGACACCATCCAACTTTTTTGGCCTTGTCTCTTCCCTTCCTTTAAAGATGCACTCTGTTCTCAAACAATCAGAGCGGTAAATATGAATTAAGGTAAAACTACAGTAGTGTTGGTATGGACAGTAGTGAGAACACTTCTATAGTAAGGGACAAAAACAAGACTAGGTCGAAACCTAATATATACTGCAAGGCAAGGCAACTATATTTGTATAGCACATTTCATTCGGCAGGGCAATTCAATGTGCTTTACAAGGCAATAAAATACAGCAAAGGTAAAAGGTTTACAATTAAAAAAGTGCTAAGTACAGGCAAGTGATACACAATTTAAAATGGAGGCTTGTGCAGTTTGAATCAAGTAAAAAATCAGGTTATATACGTCCACATTTAGATGCACGAACATATCAAATAAGTATCAGGGCCCACAGCCACAAAGTGATCAGTTTATTGAAATGTTCCAAATAAAACAGATAGAAAACACAGTAATATTTGGTCAGTCCAAATCATGACACAATAAGTAGTAAGTAAAATAAGAACAATTCAAAACCAAGGCAGGACTAAGACAAGACAAATACTACAAACCAAATCAGTGTCCAGAACTAGATAGCGAACAAGATAACATAGTAATAAAATTGAAATATAAAAATATGTGGAAATGTGTGTATGATGATAAAGATAGCACTAAATACTAAAACATAACTATAATGGTTGTTGGTCGGACAACTGACCATCACATCACAGGTTAATGTCTGTAAAATATATAATCAGTCATTCAGGAATATCTGGAAAGTCCAGCTCTTGTATATACTCAAAAAAGCGATCCCACTTTGTGCAATATGTCCTCAGGGAGCTGTTCATTATGCACCTGATTCTTC